AGACTTATATTAGGCCATGTGAATTTGTTCCAAAGCATACTGATCCTCTGTTTTATTATTCTCATTTTTTTCTGTTTTACTACTAAAAACAGTTTGTTTTTATGCTCTCAGTTCAGTAACCTTTGCTTTTGTAATGTCTAATCTGCTGTTAATCCTATTCAGTGTATTTTACAACCCACATATTGTGGGTTTCATCTAAGTTTCATTGGTTCTTTTATTATTTCTTCTGTGTCTATACTTATAGTTAAAATAGCTATTTTTTAGTTATAATATTGAGATGGGGCGCCTGGGTGGCTCAGTGGGTTAAAGCCTCTGCCTTCAGTTATAATATTGAGATAACTATAGAGTCACATGTACTTTAAAGAAATAGTAGAGATCCTATGTACACTTTATCCACTTTCCACCAAATGTTAGCATTTTGCAAAACTATGATACAATATCACAACCAGGACATTGAAACTGATACAATCCATCTATCTTATTCAGATATCCCCAGATTTGTACTCATTTGTATGTCTATTTAGTTCCATACAATTTTATCACATGTGTATTTTGTTCTATATAATGTAATTTCATGCAGGTTTGTGTATCCATCCCCAGAGTCTAAAGAACTAGTTCCATCAGCATAAAGATCTCTCACACGCCCATTTCCTCTTCCTGGCCCATCCTAACCCCTGGAAACCACTGATGATGTTCTCTCACTTTAAAAATTTTGCTTTGAAATATTATGTAAATGGAGTCATAAAGTATCTAACATTTTGGGACTGGCTTTTAAAATAATTTCTCATAATTCTCTAGAGATTCTTATGTTTCTTGTAATAGTAGTGTGCTTCTTTTTATTATGAGTGGTATTTCATGGTACTGATATACCACACTTGTTTAACCACAAATTTACAGAAGAACCTTTAGGCTGTTTATACCTTTTGGCTATTACAAATAAAATGGCTATGAACATTTCTGTACAGGTTTTTATAAAATTTAAGTTTAAGCCTTTAAAGCTTCCTTGATAAATACCTGAGAAATTTGGGTCATATGGTGGTTGCATGTTTAGTTTTACAAGAACTGCCAAACTGTTTTCGAAAGTGCCTGTAACATTCTACATTTCCATCAGCAGTTTTTGAGCAACTGAGTCTCTCTGCACTCTTATTAGTATTTGGTGTTCTATTTTTAAAATTTTTGCTATTCTATTAGGTGTAGTGATAATCTCATTATAATTTTGATGTACATTTCCCTGATGGCTAAAGATTTTAAAAATCTTTTCATGTGCATATTTGCTATATGGACATTCTGATGAAGTATTTGTTCCTTTCACCTATTTCTAATTAGATTGATGTCTGAGTTTTTAGAGTTCTTCATATAATATAGATATTAATCCTTTGTTGGGTATATGGTAAATATTTCCCCTGGCCTGTGTCTTTTCATTCACATCACATGAAATTTGCAGAGCAAGATCAGTTTTAAGTGATTAAAATTTTCTTTTATGGATCATTCTTTTGGAGTCAAGTTGAAGAACTACTTGCTTACACCTAAATTCTGAAGATTTTCTTCTGTTTTGTTCTAAATGTTCTATAGTTTTTTGTTTTACATTTAAGTCCATGGTCTGTTTTGAATTAAATTTTTTATAAGTTGTCAAGTTTAGATTGAGTTTCATTTTTTCCCTATAGGTTTCTGTTTCCTCCAGCATTTGTTGAAAGGCTATCTTTCCCCTATTGAATGCTGTTCCACCTTTTCTCTTTCTTTCTTTTTTTTTTTTAAGACTTTATTTTTTTTCGAGAGAGAGCAAGCATGGGAAGGGCAGAGGAAGAGGGTGAGGGAGGGAATCCCAAGCAGACTCCAGGGTCAGGGTGGAGCCTGATGCAGGGCTCAATCTCACAGCCTTGAGATCATGACCTGAACTTGAAATCAAAAGTCGGATGCTTAATTAACTGAGCCACCCAGGTGCCCCTGCTGTTGCATCTTTGTAAAAAATCAGTTGGATATTTACATGTGTGTCTATTTCTGTCTAGCACTCCACCAGTACTACATTGCCTTAATTACTGTAGCTATATAGCAAACCTTAACTTGGGTAAGGTTAGTCCAGCCACTTTATTCTTTGTCAAGATTGTATTAGCTGTTCTAGACCTGTGATTTTCCATATAAACTTTATAATAAGCTCACCTGTCTCCAAAAACCCTTAGGAAGATTTTGATAAACATCTCATTAAACCTGTATATATCAACTTAAGGAATATTGACCTAATTACTGTTATATCTTTAAATCCACAGGCTCAGTATGATTCTTCTTTTATTCAAGTTTTCTTTGATTTCTATCATCTACATTTTATAATTTTCATCATAAGGATGTCAATTCTGTATATGGTTTGGGAAGTATTCACTTTGGAGTGATTTTACCTTCAGTTTCTGCATATTCACTTCTAGAGATGAAATTAATTAGTTTTGTTTCTGCATTTCTTCCTTTCCAGTGTACATGCATTTTATCTTTTACACTGTTTTATTCTGGTGGTTAGAACTTTTGTACTATGTTAAATAAGATTTGTGAGAGCTTTATTTCTGATCTTAAAATAATAATAAAATAGAACCTGTAGTGACTCAGTAGTAAGCATGATGTTGTAGGATTTTTGTAGATACTATTTATCAAGATGAGGTCGTTCCCTTCTACCATGCTAAGAGGTTTTATCATGAGTTGGTAGTTTTCTTAGCCTATTGACATAGATTATATTGTTTGATTTTTGACTTGATGAGCCAGCTTTGCATACATGGAATAAATCCCACCTGGTCATAGTATATAACTTTTACTATGTTGTTGGATTTGATTTGCTAAAATTTTGTTAAGGATTTTTGCATCTAAGTTCATGAAAGATATTGGTCTATAGTTTTGTTTTCTTTTCCTTTCTCCCCTCCCCCCTTTTCTTTCAGTCTTTCTTTCTTTCTCATTTCATGTAAATGAGTTCTATTTGTTTCTTCAAATGTATATTAAGAAACTTTTTAGTTTTTCTTTCCCTGCAGATATTTTCAAGTTTGTTGATTATTTTTTAAACCCAGTAAGTATAGCTCTCTTAAAACACAACTCTGATAACTTCATACTAAAGTCTGGGCAGATCCTGTCCCTCTCTCCCTCTTGTATTGATTGATTGATTGTGTACTTTTTCCCTATGTCCATCATTGTCTTCAAAATTTACTTTTGGCACTTTTTAAGATATAAAATAAATGTCTTCCTTCACAGAAGCATTGGAATGGCTTCTGCCTGATTCATGGGGACATTACCAGTTGGGAACCATTTCAAATTATGTTTGATTTTAAAGTTACATGGCCCACTCAGATTTTGGTTCTCAAGATACAAAAGCACTTAAAGACTGGCTTGTGGTCACGACTTCTTAAGACTTCTTTTTGTCCTTTTATTTTCCTACAGTCCCTGAATTTGGGGTTGGCTTTACTTCTAGTTCTCCCTTATTGTGAAGATATAAGCTTCTGGAGTTCCATCTTAACCCACTGAGCCAGCCAGGTGCCCCTGGAGTTCCATCTTAATGTAGGGTTTCCTACAGGATTCTCCAACTTGGATGGGCACTTGGCCTAATCTTTTACCTCCTTTGCTCCATGAGCTATTATACCAAAGTGTAAGATATTGGATACTTTCAGATCAAAACTACCCTTTTTTCTCTCCAATATTCGCCAGTCCCTGGGTTGAGAATTTCTCCTAAGTTTTGGCCTTGCAATTCATCTTCTGATACCTTCTGTATTTTTATTTAAGTATTTTATTTATCATTTGACAGAGAGAGAGAGAAAGAGAGAGAGAGAGAGAGAAAACAAGCAGGGGGAGCAGCAGAGGGAGAGGGAGAAGCAGGCTCCCAGCTGAGCAGGGAGCCTGATATGGGGCTTGATCCTAGGAGCCTGGGATCATGACCTGAGCCAAAGGCAGACGCTTAACTGACTGAGCCACCCACGTGTCCCACCTTCTGTATTTTTAGATGTGTATTACAGATACACACACACAGACATGTGATCTTTAAAGATCCATCATCAATGAAGTGATAAAAGGTAGAGTATTTTTCAATTTATGAGGAAAAAGCCCTAAGCATTAAAAATTTTTCAACAGGAAGGTTAATTACAATAGTGTATTATTCCTAGGAACAGGAAATCTCTGCTGAATTCTTAATGTATTAATGCTAAATATACTTTTTCTTATTGAATTTATCCTTTTTTCATTCTCCAGGTGAAATAATTTAAAAAATCAGTGTGCTAATAGCACAATGTCAGACCTGGAACTAGTCTGACTGAGCTTTCATGCAAGTGACTTCATTCATGTTACAATTCAAATGTCTTTGCTTGTTAAGTGGAGGTAATACTAAATTATCCTCATAGCCATTTTAGCTCTAATTTCTCAATGTACAGATACTTCCACACTTCATTTTGAACACTTATAATAGACCTTATTAAACAATAATAGCCCTCTTCCCAATGGCACAATCTTTCCATAATAACAATCCAGAGCCACTCACTATCAACTGACTGGAGATGGCACAAACCCTATTTGTCATCCCTAACCTTGTATATATAAATGACATCTTTTGAAATATGGTTAAACAACTTTTCTACTGTGTTATATCCTTAGTTACTTTTCTAATAGTTGTAATAGGCTAAGAATTAGAAAAAATCATTCTCATTTTTCAGGATTGTAGAGATTTAAAGTGCAGAATTCAATTTTTTCCTTGAAAAAAATAGTGGAAATCATCAGATAAAACAAACAAAAGTATTCTCAGCTCATTGTAAAAGCATTCTATTAAGAATAGGGCAAATAAGTAAAAGACAATTGATAGTGTACTTCAGGTAGAGAATAAAAATTTAATAGTAATATAAAATAAACAAACATATAAAAATCAAGTATTTAGTTTTAGATGTTAGAAATAATTTACATAATAAAGTTAGAATAGTACTGATAGTGCGGCAAGATAAGATTTTACTGTTCAAATTATAGATTATGCCAATCACACTATGTACTCTGGGTTTCAAAAATTATGCTTTTATTACTAAAAGCATCTGGACTTTAGATATCACTAATGAAAGCATGTAATACCTGGCATATTGCAACTGAAGCTGTGTAACCATCATTTTAATGACCATAATGGAAATAAAAGAGGCAAACATCTCCTATCTTTGGAATGCTAGTTACCCAAACTGTCACAGTGTCAAAATAAAAACAATTCCTTTTTCTGTATTGCCTTGGAAGCATATACATGAGAGAAAATGGGGGAAAAAAAGGGGCAACTTTATGATATATGCAATGCCAATGTTAAAACTCATAAACTAATTTCTCAATATAATTTCCTGATTCTGGTCCTTAAGAAATAATTAAAGAACTTTTTAAATACCAGGAAATATGATTCTGCCATTTTTCCATAATCAAATTTTTCAATGATCTCTAAGACTGACTTTTACAGCCTGTTCCACTGAGCTAGTTCAAGGAGACACACTGGTTGAAGAAGGATGGAGAATATAAACTTTAAGGCTAAAAATTCCATCTTCAAAATGTAAAGATTTAAATAGAGCCCTTAATAAGGTTATGTAATACCAAATTGCTGGCTATGAAAACATGTAGACAGAAAAAAAGGTCATGCTTAATTAAACGAAAAACCATAGGCAAGCTTTTCATAACTTAAGTAATTCTCTCGACTTAAGGACATTTGCTTAAAGTTACCTTACTGCATTGGTAAATCTTTTTCAGAACCATTAAGTCCAGTTCTGGATCAATGTCTCTTATGCTTTGGCTGCATAATTTAATAAAGTATATATTCTGTAGGCGGTTACTATAGAACTCCATGAACAAAATAGATAAAATACTAGAATCTTAATTGAAAAATGGCATATTTCTCTTTTTCATGCAATCAGCATGCCAATCTTAAATCTGATATTTGTAGAAAATTGCTACATTTCCCACTGCAGCTTGCTTTTCTGATGAGCCAAATATAAATGCTTTCATACAGTTGAGAATTAAGAAATGTTCTGATGATTATTCATCATTATCTGTGAAAAAGAAAAAAAAATTAATTCACTTCATTGCAAATCAAACTGTATCTACTTAGTAAAAAACTAACTCTTTTTTATGCTAAAGGAAAAGAGCTTTAATGTAGTTTTAATGTAGTTTATATTGAATATCACTTAATATTATTTACTATCACATACTCAGTGTAAAATATTCAAACAGTACAATGAAGAATACAGTGGGAAACAAAAAGCCTATAACCAAAGACAGCCAATGTTAATAATTCTATGCAAATAACAAATTTCCAAAATCTAACTTTTTAAATTGTATATTTCCTCCTTAAAGCACATAATGGATATGGAAGAATAGATAAATACGTGATAAAGCAAGATTGTAAAATGTTAGTGGCAGAATCTAGGTGCTGAGTACATGGGTGATAAATGTGAAATTCTTTCAACTTTTACATATGATGAAAATTTTACAATATGATGAGAAAGAATAAATCATGGATATACTCCATGTCTGTTTCAGTGGCTGCATAGTATTTTTTTAATAGATAAGGCATAGTTAAATTAATTATTTCTACTTATAAACACATTGGTTGCTTCCAATTTTTCTTTATTTAAACAAAATAGTTGAATAAATTAAACAGACTGCTTGGTTTAATCCTATATAGCAATCACTATCTTCCACACTGGAGCAAAAGTGATCTTTCATTACAATTCAAGTGTCAACTCGAGTCACTGCACTACTGAAAACTCTCCACTACATCTCCCCAATAGCTCAGAATAGAACCCATGTTCCTTATGTGGACTGCAAATCCCTTCATGATTTGACCTAAATATTTCTAGTCTTAGCTACTTTCATTACCCATCTTCTCCAACTGTCCCTAGAATATATGCTTTAGTAACACTGACTTGGCTATGGATCCCCTAATACATTTTGCATGCTTCTATGTTTAAGTAAACATACTGATCTTAAGATAAACTCCCATTCATCTTTCAAAATCTAACTCCAAAATCCTCTCCTCTTGGAAGAATTACTTTAAATCTTTTATTTCTTCCAATATTGCTGGATCACTACTTGATGGAACACATATTTTATTGCTTCCAATGTTATATCCAATGTTATCACTCTGTACTACAATTTACTTATATTTTACAATTTCAAAATGTTTGAAATAGAAAGAACACTCATGTACCTAATATTTAGAATTAATAAAAGTTAATTTGGGGTCATATTGATTTGGGATATTAAGAAAACCACATTATGGATTGAAAGTACCCTTTTCCAATCTTATTGTCCTTTCTTCTTGCCCAAGGGCATTATCAATACCCTAAACTGATGTGTCTTTTCTTCTCAAGGTTTTTTACTTTTATTGCATATATGCACACCCAAATAATATTGCCTTTAAACATTATATAAATGGTACTCTGCCCTACTTATTCCAGCATCATATTTGTGGGGCTTATCCATACTGACAGATGAAAATTTAGTTCATTTAACTACTATAGAGAACTCCATTACGTAGAGAACTCCATTAAGTAGAGCACAACAGTTTATCTAAAATAAATGTGGAAGGAAGATCTACAGGTGTGGACTGCCAAGATTGATATTCTATATGAGGACTTGGTGGCCTCTGCCATTCTACTGCCGACCACAGTTATAATCCTTTCCCTTGTGGAAGAATTTTTTAAGACTAATGTGAAATAACTTACACATTTTGCTAATGTGTAAGACTAATGTGAAATAACTTACACATTTTGCTCATTCTACTTGACTTCTGACTCTGGATAACACTTAGCTAAATGGCATTAACTTTACTAATAGCTGTGGTTGTAGATGCTTACCAAACCCATAGTCTAACAGTATCAGGCAGCTAAAGAGAAGAGGCCATCTTTTGAGGACTCATTATTTTCAGTTAAATAATATGGAAATGTATTTTAGATAATCTTCTTTTTAACGGATTTCTTAATGACACTGACACCACTTTTGTGTGAACTGGATATAATTTGCCTATCCTCTCCCTTCATTAATCTCACCCCCCTCTAAAATAGAGTATCAAAGTGTGTAAGTACCATATGCAGATCACATGGTTTAATTATTATCTCTTAATGTGGCCTAAAAGAATGATCTGTAAGACAACCAGATCTAGGGTCTAAGTATTTTCAATAAGAATGACTTTGAAATAGTTATTCTAAACCTAATCACTGTCCAACATTTAACTGTTTTGAGATTAACGATACAAAACAGCAATTTATTCGTACAGTTCCACATACATTTTAAAACCAGTTTAGTGAGTTTATATATTAGTATCTATAATTTTTACATATGAGTAAGTTGCAATATTTTAGGGGCTTCAGTAAGATATTTAAAAAAAGGTTTCTAAGGTAGGCATTTGACTAACTGCTTTGTACTTTTTCTAGGCTAAAGGAAATACTGATAGGCTTTATGATACAGAACTTCAGGATCTTCATTCCCTTTTCATTTGTGTGATATGAATTTGTATGAAATTTTGATATTGCTTCTTTTTCTTTTTTCTTAGATTGAAGACTAACAGATACACAGTATTATATTAGTATCAAGTGTACAACATTCTGATTTGATATTTATATATACTACAAAATGGTCACCACAAGGTCTAGTTACCGTCTCTCACTGTATACAGCTGTTACAATATTATTAACTATATTCCCTATGCTGTATATTATATCCCTTGTCTTCTTTTATAACTGAAGACTGTACCTCTTAATCTCTTCACTTATTCCACCCATCCCCCGCATCTTCCCTCCTTGCTGGCAACCACGTTTGTTCTCTGTATCTATAAATTTGTTTCTGTTTCTGTTCTGTTTCATTTGTTTCTTTGGGTTCCACATGTAAGTAAAGTCATATGACATTTGAATTTCTCTGATTTATTTCATATAGCATAATACCCTCTAGGTCTATCCATGTTGTTGCAAATGGCAAGAACTCACTCTTTCTGTTGGCTAAGTAGTATTCCACTATGTATATTTGCCACATCTTTACTCATTTATCTATCTATGGACATTTAGGTTACTTCCATATTTTGGCTACTGTAAATATTACTGCAATGAAAATATGAGTACATATGTCTTTTTGAATTAGTGTTTTATTTTATTTTTAAGTAATCTCTACACCCAACATGGAGTTTGAATCCATAACCCAGAGATCAATAATCACATGCTCTACCAACTGAGCCAGCCAGCTCCCTGATTTAGTTATTTCCATTTTCTTTGGATAAATACCTAGACATGGAATTGCTGGATTGTATGGCAGTTCAATTTTTAATATTTTGAGGAACCTCCATACTGTTTTCCATAATGTCTGTACCAATTTACATTTCCACCAAAAGTTCCCTTTTCTCCACCTCCTTGTCACTTGCTACTTCCTGTCTCTTTCATAATAGCCATTCTGACAGGTTTAAGGTGGTATCTCTTCATGGTTTTAACTTTTCCTTGATGGTGAGTGATGTGGAGCATCTTTACTTGTGCCTGTTGGCTATCATATGTCTTCTTTGGAAAAGTGGTTATTCAGTTCCTCAGCTTTTTAAAATCAATTGTTTGGGTTTTTTTTAGTATGGAGTTTTATGAGTTCTTTATATATTTCTGATGTTAATCCCTTATTGAATATGTCTTTTTAAAAAATCTTCTCCCATTCAGAAGGTTGCCTTTTCATTTTGTTGATGGTTTCCTTTTCTGTGTAAAAGCTTTTTAGTTTGATGTGGTATCCCTTGTATATTTTTGCTTTTCTTGTCCTTGCTAGAGGAGATAGATCCAAAAAACTATTGCTAAGACCAGTGTCAAAGAACTTACTGCCTGTGTTTTATTCTCAAAGTTTTATGGCTTCAGATATGATTTTAAGTCTTTAATCCATTTTAAGTATATTTTTATGTATGGTGTAAGAAAATGGTCCAGTCTCATTCTTTTACATGTAGCTCTCCAGTTTTCCCAATATCACTTAGTAAAAAGACTGTCTTTCCCCTGCAATTTCTTTCTTCCTTTGTTGTAGTTAATTGAACATATAAGCATATAAGCATGGGTTCATTTCTGGGCTCTCTATTCTGTTGATAGATATTGATAACATATTGATAATATGTTTCTGTTTTTGTGCTAGTTTTGATTACTACAGCTCTGCAGGATAGTTTAAAATCAGGGAGTAAAAGAGATACCTCTTTTTCTTCTTTCCCAAGACTGCTTTGGCTGTTCAAGGTCTTTTGTGATTGTATATAAATTTTTTGATAGGGATTGCACTGAATCTGTAGTTTCCTTTGGTAATACTGATATTTTAACCTATTAATTCTTCCAACTGATTTTGAACAATGGATCTTTCCATTTATTTGTGTCATCTTCAATTTTTTTCATCAATGTCTTATTTTTTTCCAAGTATAGGTCTTTCACCTCCTTGGTTAAATTTATTCCTAGGTATTTTACTCATTTTGATGCAATTATAAATGGGATTGTTTTCTTAATTTCTCCTTCTGAAAGTTTGTTATTAATGCATAGAAACACAACATTTCGATTTCTTTCATAAGTGTTTTATATATAAGTTTTCAGAGTACAGATCTTTTACCTCTTTGGCTAGGTTTACTCCTATAGGTATCTTGTGTTTTTTTCATGGAATTGTAAATGGGACTGATTCCTTGATTTCTCTCTCTGCTGCTTCAATAGTGGTATACAGAAATGCAACAGATTTCTGTAATTTGATTTTGTATCCTGAGATTTTATTGAATTCATGTTCCAGTTCCAACAATTTTTTGGTGGGACCTTTTGGATTTTTCTATATAGAGTATCAGGTCATTTGCAAATAGTGGAAGTTTGACTTCTTGCCAGTTTGGATGCCTTTTGATATCTTTTTGTTGTCTGACTGCTGAGACTAGGACTTCCAGTAATATTACTTAGCCATTAAAAAAAAAACAAAACACTGAAATCTTGGCATTTGCAACAATGTGGATGGAGCTAGAGTATATTATGCTAAGTGAAATAAGTCAGAGAAAGACAAATACCCATATGATTTCACTCAT